TACTCAGTATTTAACTAATCTCTTAATCCAAAATTCCTATCATCATTTAATAATTATGCAAAATTCTTCTTTCAGATTGCTATTTATTTAAATTTTTAATGCTGCAACTGTTCCAAAATAATCTTGTAGTAAAGGAAAAATGCAAATAAGAAGTGGAAGACCAATTTTACCCACAGTATGCAATTATTTGAATATAAAAAGAAAAAGAACACGATTTAACAAATTAAAATAATCTTTCATGAACTCTTTCATGAATAACATATTAAACAAAAATGAAAGTTATAAATCAGTGGTAATGGCTTATTCTGGAATATATGACCTCTGTACATCATCAGTACCTGACTTGGTACAGTATAGTTACTACTTGGAAACAGAGTCAGATTTAATAATGTAACAATAAGAACAATATATATTATAATAATAAACTTCTCTGCACATATCAGACGCTTGTTACCATGAACTAACACTACTTGACAATGGGCTGAGCACTTATCACAGAGTCTGTGTGCGATGCCATTCTTGTGCTGTGATTGGTTAGTTGAGTCACGTGAAGCCCTACTGTTGCGCCCTCGCGTATCGCGTAAATGCTGCACATTTCTGGCCATGACCCTTTAAGTAACTAATTAATTTAAACACTAGCCGGGCTTTGTCTAATTCAATGTGTCAGATCAATTTATCCGAAAATATACTTTAATTCAAATGTACCCAGATATTCGAATGTGAAAAATTTCATCACGAGAAATTCTTATCCAGTAAAGACTAGAGTATTTCCTAGAATATGCTTGTTAATGTACAAGTGTATGAAACAGACAAAGCTGTCCGCTGTTAGAAAATGTTGCAAAGGAACGTGCAGTTTTGCCGTCTCAATCCCGTAGCTGCCTTCAGATAAACAGCTTATCCTTTGACAGTCCCTCGTAGAATTCATTTTGGTCTTATGTTTTCATTATTTTCATTGGCAAAGCAACTGCGATTTGTGGGTGTTCAGGAAAGCGCGGAACTAAACAAAAAGGACCGGCGTAAAATCAATACGTTAAATGGAAATTTAGTAACAGGGAGGTCATTTTCTTTTAATATTTGGTTTTATGCACAATTTTCCAGTATGTCAAAATAATAATATCTAGTTTATCATTTTATATAAAATTAATTCAATGGAAATTTGTAAAGCAACTGTCCATTTTATCATTTCAGCAAGCTGGAGACATGGCGGGCTGTATGGTTATGTGATTTCCATCCGCAGACCCCCCTTCAAATAATCCTGGATCCGCCTCTGACATGCATGTACCAAGAAAGCGGCATATATATTTTTGATCTTCCTGTTCAGTCAGATATTTTCTTAACACAAAAGATAGCGTTTAATGAATATTTAATACTGTATCTGTAACAGGCACAATTGTCAAAATAAGTATACAAAATCGGATATCTTGAATTTAATCTTTTGTTTTCAATATCAGAAGACATGTTTTTAATTTCGAATCTGGTAGGCCTAATTATTTTAGGACATACAAAACCATCACGTGATGTTTACTTAGTAATGTACCAACAGTACAAACCGGGCCATATATGCCTGAAACGTTTTCGATAATAAACGCGTTTTTTTCCTCCAAATTTATGTGATGTCTCTGTCCTAAGCGTAAAAGTATATTATACTAGTTTGAAAATATCAGAAAGTCGTATTTTTATGTCTAAATATCCTGAGAAACTATTTATCAGTATCATAGCAGAACTGATCTCTTGAAAAGTACTTGATGTCAGTATATTTCCTTTTGAAATGCCAGGAAGACTTTGCTGTCTAATGAATGATGATTCGTTTAAAACTAAGTTATTTAATTTAGATCTAACATGCTACAAAAAAAATTAAATCCAAGTGCGTTATGAATAAACATATATTACCGGTGAAGCAGTAAACAATGAACATTGATGTAATCAAAATAGTGGGCACATACACCATCAATAAGATGCATATGCACCATCAGTTAATTGACAACAAGTTATATTAATCTTATGAAAAATTTTAACATGTATATTATTTAAAAAAAAAGAAAAAAATTCACAACGGTAGGCCTATCCCTAGAGAACACACTCTTTAGAAAAGAACGACTTCTGAAGCAAAAGATGAAATTATTCACCAATTTAAATTTTTATTATTTTATAGACACTTTGCACTGGTGTGTCCTAGCACTTTGAATCAGTTGAGGTACTCAGATTCTGTCATCTTGGTATTCCTTCTCTTAGACATTAAGTGCGGATACTGTGGCAGCTTGGGTGTGGTTTTTGCCGGCGTCCGTTTGTGAGTCTGCTTGCAGGGAGTTCTGGGTATAAACGAAGGCAGCCCGTTCTTATTTTGTGTATGTTGCACATAAAAGGGAAAAGACTGCCTTTTGTGGACAGGAAGAGCATCATGGTTAATCGTATCACGCAATCTGTGGATCTTTCCATCTGAAAGTTTACACCCCGTGCACACGTACCATCCGTACTCCTTTTTGCTTGCCGCCGTAGGAGTTGAAAGTCCTGAATCCGAAGCACTACTTTTCAGTAGCTTATGCTCGTTGATTACGCTTGCATCAAATGCTTTTGCTAAATCTCCACTGAAAGTAGAGAGATTAGTGCCAGACCGACTGGTTGGCCGACGCGTCTCCTGACATACATGCAAAGTGTTAAGAGCAGTCGTCGGTTTTGGCTGTGTGTTGTCAACTGTGTCAAATTTTCTGTCATTTTTAGCTAATGTCTCATTCGGTAGGTGATCGTTTGAAGTCTTTTCATTGCCGCTGGTTGCTATGTTGTCAGACTCATCTTGATCTGCAAAATATTATAAACAGGTAAAGCATGTTATAATCATCCTGTGTCTGCTGACAATAGTCGCTGTCATATTAAAAGAACTTCATAGAATTTGAGCACATAGCATACGGTATTATATGTTTTGCCTCCGACCTAAGAGTGTCTCCTGGAATTTAAAAAAAAAATTTAAAGGCAACAGTTAGCGAACCTTTAGTTGTCTTAAT